ATAGATCAGAAAATATTGTTATATGACCCTTTAATGTGACATGAACAACCGGATAAAAATTTGAATTCAGGTTTAGTTTAAGAGGTAAAGATGAAATTTAAATGACTCTTGTTTCTTTTTTCTTACAGTTATATTGTAACATGCATAATCAAATGTATACTAGTAGATTATCTAATCTTTAAGTCCTGTCTATCAAGAATCTAGTTCCAATTTACCACCCAAAACTGTTGCTGTTTTTTATTCTTACTTATACCATTGATATTTAGAGTGTGTACCATGTCAAGTGTTCCTTAGGGAGAAAGAGCTGTAAACAGAGTGTGTGAGAAATGCAAACAATATCAAACATCTTCTCCAGGCCATTTAAGGGTCACAGCCAGACTCTGTTTCTCTTCTGCAGCTCGGTAACAATGAAATCTTTATTTGTTGTGAACTGGTGGGTTTCAGACGCTAGACTGTGATGATGCCATACTCCCACACGAGTAGTAAGACGGACCAGATTTCCATATTGATTACATTGTACTTTCTGTTGAAATATCTAAAAGGTCAATTCGCAAATGTTGAACCTGATCAGGTGCACTGATCCAGCTTTTTCTGATCTGATATAACGCCGATCTTTAGGCTTTAAGTATCTGCGAATACTAGGGATATAACAATAACCGAAATATCGTGATACTGTATCGTCAAAAGTCTCAGTCATAATATGTCTAATCAGAAGTTCCTTTGCTTAAATGCATGGTTTTAAAGTAGCAACAGCTTATAAACCTATGGAACTACATATCCCATGATTCATTTCAGTGCAGACAACATGAAGAAATATGTTTTTTACTTGAATTCTCGAGATTATGACGGTAATAATTCACTCCAAAATCTTGTCAAGGTATTTTAAAAGCAAAAAAGTGTTTCATCTACAATTATATTAGCCTCTTCAAAATATCGCAATAAATATCGTACTGTGAGATGCATATCGTGATAACATCGTACCGTGAGATTTGGATATCGTTACATCCCAAGCAAATACCCAATGTCAACTTGTACTTGGGCAGAGACTGAAAATATAATTAATTTCCTTCAAACACAAACACTTATGATAAATGAAAAAATAACCAAATGTGTTTTGTAATTGTAACATTTTAATTAACTACAGAACAGCTTTGAAATAACATTATGATGTGTTTTGGCCCAACGTTGTCCAGTAAATCGTCCAGTAATCGCCAATATCTGTTATCAGTATCGAATCAGTGCATCCAGACCCAACATTTCACTGTATTAAAAGAAATCTGCATTTTAACAATATTCCTTTTATCTACCCTCATCTGTATTAAATATTACTGACCTAAAGAATGTTGAGGTGTCATTTGAAACCGGGCAATATGAGACAGTGGTGAATGCACTGGTTAGTTAATGGTTCAGTTGGTATGTTAGGGTTTTGAACTAAGCTCCCATCAAGACATACGCAGTTGTTCAGAAGGAAAACCACACTGACTTGACATGACAAAATGTGACTATAGAGAAATCAAATTCTGCACAAAAATTTAAAACAACTTTGAGGTATCAGACACTAGAAATGCACTGTGTTATATTTGACTAGTGCATTTAAAACAAAAAACAAAATACAACAGTTTTTGCCTGGCCAATCCATGTATCATTCATTCATTCGTTTTTCAAGATAAAACCAAAAACAAGAAAACAAAAAAACAACTATTTTCTTCTTTATTTAGATAACAATTCATTTTTTCAGTTTTCGATTTTGGCCTTAAATGAATAATGGAAAAAACTGATAAAGTCCTCTTCCCGTTTCCGTGACTGAAATGCTGGATTGAACCAGGACTAAACCAGGACTGAACCAGGTCTAAACCAGGTCTAATCCATGACTGAGACAAGAATCACACCAGGACCAGAGCAGAACTGAGATCAGGACTGAGACCAGGACCAGGACCAGGACTGAGACCAGGACCAGGACTGACACCAGGACCGACACCAGGACCAACACCAGGACCGACACCAGGATCGAGACCAGGACCGAGACTAGGACTGACACGAGGACGGAGACTGGGACCAGACCAGGACTGAGACCAGGACTGAGACCAGGACTGAGACCAGGACTGAGACCAGGACGGAGACCAGGACGGAGACCAGGACGGAGACCAGGACGGAGACTGGGACCAGACCAGAACTGAGACCGGGACTGAGACCGAGACCAGGACCAAGACCTGTTTAGTCCTGGTTTAGTCCTGGTTTAGTCCTGGTTCGGTCCTGGTTCGGTCCCGCATCTCAGTTTAAGTCACGTAAACGGAAAACAGTAGTTATCCGTTATCTATTATTCATTTAAACACAAAATCAAAAACTGAAAAAAATAACCGTTATCCGTTTTTTAAGTTTGGTTTTGGAGACAAATAATGAAGAAAATAGTTTTGTTTTTTTTGTTTTTTTCTTATTTTTGGTTTTATATTGAAAAACGAATGAACAAATGATACATAGATTCTGGCCCCTTGCTATCTTTGTTTATTTTATTATAACTAGTCTATATAATACAATAACAATCATTTGCAAATTAGAATACAGTGCTGTTTTACTTTTTACCATTTCACAAAACATTTTAGTTAAGTTATTAGGGAGTACTACATGACAAATTAGCACAACCTACTGAATTCAAAACAAGCCAGCCTTACAAAAGATTTTACAACATTTCTTCTTAATATTTGCTCTTTTTCACAAGATCCAAGCTTCGTTATGTCAGTCTCTGTATGCAAACGCAGAGACTGTCAGGGCCATGAGGACAACACAGCAGTCCCACTGGGGGGGCTGATAGTGATCCGGAACCACACTGACATTTAGACCCTCTTCATTCAACCACCAACAACCACTACAACAACGACGAAATATGAATAGTTCAGCTTATTTGCGTCTTCTTTATACTATTCAAACTCCTCTTTTTGTATATAATTTAAAACTTTTGTCATTTCTTCAGAGCGTAGTCCCATTCATTAAAGCATACAGCTCGACTCTAGCCTCAAGTGCTGGAATGTGGATCAAAGGAGGGAGAAAAAAGGCCCCCCGAAGCACCACCCATACACAGAGGCTCTTTCCTTCTGACAAAATCTGCTTCTAAAACTGTTTTGAGTGGACCAAACAACAAAACTCCAGACCCGTTCCATAATTCCGAATACGTTCTGAGTCCCCGCTCCGAGTTTTCCGTGCACCCACAGAGAAAACTTTTTGGAAAGTTGAGAGCTGTCCAAAACAGGACCACACACACAGTTTCAGGGCGTTCAACTGCTGGGGGCAGGCTGACACTCACCAACACACACACATGGACACAAAATGGCGGCTTGGGTGAGAATTGCCTCGAATGTTAAACGTGCACTGTGTAACTTTTCTGGTGGAGGGTCCGTCACCTGCTTGTTTCTCTGACTGGAATGTTCCACAGTGTGACATTAAACAGCTCCACCGTACTTTTATTCAATTACAGGTGGTTTTATAGCTCAGAAATACCTACAAACACAGGCATTTTGACAGTGAGCGGGGTCGCCTCTCCACAGATCTGACGTGTAACTTGGTCTGGCTTGATCTCCATAGAAAGACAGAAAGGTTTAATACCGTACTGCGAAATATTCCAGACGAAGCAAAAACATTTCCACGAAGAAAAGCATTTGATGGACCCTTCACCAAAAAAGTTACACAATGCACCTTTAATGCTACTTATTAGTTTATGTACAGTTTTGATGATCTGATTTTAGAATTCTTTTAAAACTATTCCCAAATAAAATACAACATGTACGCATCTTTTATTCTCAATTTTGCCTCTACCTATTTACTTAACTGCAGGATTACAACTAGGCCTGTCATGATTATTTCTATATCGATACTGAAGGTTTTTTGGGGGGTCAGTATTTATCGTGTGTACATTTTCTTTGCACTGCTCATAAATGTTGGTTATTTTTCAACAATTCTGCAAGGTTTGGGCCATAAAAGGTTGAATAAACAACTTCTATGACTCATTACAGACCCAAACTAAGTAATAAAGTGTTTCATTCTGCTGTTTATTGATTGCAGCTCATGGTTTTTAGCAATATTGCACATTTAGATTATTTTTGTGGTTTAAATCTGCTCTTAGGTTTTTGTTTATCGTCTGTATTTTCTTCAGCAATATATGACACTTCAAAAAGTTGTATCCTGACAGGCCTAGATACAACTCCATCAATATAAATATGCAAACAGCTGATACAAACTGATACAAAGTGCTTCTTATTTTATTAAATCAGTGTGCTGTACTTGTGATAGAGACTACTACGTTTGATTTCACAATATTTCAAACTAATTTCATGTACAGCAGATTTTCAAGACAACACACAGGTAAACTAGCCTGCATTCATTTCAAACATACTTTCTCTCTTTCTTAACCTGCACTACCAGCACATGAAAACACACTGCGGTTACTTTAAATAGCCAAACAAGATAAGATCGAGCTCAAAGAAAGTCTAAATCACAAATCAGCAGCTTTCTTTGAACCGTTTTTTCCATCGACACTCAGTCATTAGAAACAGTGGTAACACAGTACAATAACTCGACTTTAATTAGTTATAGTAAAGCATGAGCTAAGACTTCATTCATTCATTCATTCATTCATGGACAAATAGTTTAGTAAGAAGGATTCAGACTTAGCATCTATTGTATTAAGGGTGCGTTCACACTCACACATAAACCACATCAAAAGTGGGACTAAATGCTGACTTAAAACTAAAACTAAACCATAACTAAACAGGTTCACATCAGGACTAAAATTGGCTTACTTCAGGACTTAGACTTAGACAAACTTTATTGATCCACAAGCCTCAAGGGAAATTATGTGGACCATATAACGACAAGTGTGAATGCAAAACTCTGAGCCTGAATCATTCTTAATAAAGCCTAATGAATTAAGTCTTTGCTCATGGTTTTAGGTCTAATTAAATTACTATTAAGTAGTACTAAAACAACAACAATAAAAAAAGTGATCTTACCTTCTACCCAGAGTTTCTCCACATCCGTTTCCAAGTTAGCTGCCCGTAAGCCCACGGCGAAAGCTCCAAAAATCATGAGGCCAACAAACAAAAACTTTCCGCAGTTCTTTTGAATGTAGCAGCCCAGCCTAAACAAAAGTCTCTGGAAGTGAGCTCTGAGCCACAGAGGTGCTTTCCTCCCGGTCGCTCTGCCCTGGAACACACAACAAGCCCGGTCACACACTGCTCATACTCACCTGCGCTTATGTTAGTAATAAGTCAAATGATTACAGAAGTGATGCAGGTAATAATAAACAACTTATAGAGGCCAAAAGGGAGACTTGTGGTGATCACGTGTCCTGATTTGGTCTTGGTTTGAGCCCCTGATGTGGATTTGGTTTGGTTCTGTTCTAGTCAAAGTTTAGTCTCAATTTTGATGTGGTGTGTGTAGTGTGAACGCACCCTTGGCCATATGTCAAACAAGGCATAACTGTAGGCTCTCATCTAAAAGTGAAACACCACTAACTAGGCAAAGCTGGGGGGGGCGCTGTGGAGCCGCTGAACAAGAACGTGGGTTCTCCTCAACAACTCTGCTAAAAGTTTTACGTCCACAACATGTCTAAACAAACACCGATTAAAGACTGTGCGATTAGCTCCAGATCACGCAGTGCTCAGAAGCCCAAAACTAGTTCCGCACTGACATGCTACAAGAAGCATGGATGAGCCACAGAGCGAGCTGGCTGCTGTGTTGAGTGAGCTGCAAGCGATGCACACCAAAATCAACTTGATTGACACAAAAATAGACACCATCGTTAGCTTTGGTGGCAAGCTTGACAAACTGGACGAAAGTATAACTGAGGTGAACAGGTCTGTCATTGCAGTGAAAGGGAGCTTCGCTACTCTAAAGAAGGACATCTCTGCCAATGCTACGCGGCTTACGGAGGCTGAAAGCCGCATTGGAACTGCAGAAGATAGTTTGGAAAGTGTGAAATCTGAACTTGGTATATCTGAAAAACCGCGGTCGGAGGAAAAACTTAAAGACTCGTGGGACTTCCCGAGGGCGCCGTAGGTACCCAGCCGATGATTGACTACATCCAGCATAAGATGCTGCTCTGGTTGGGTCTCGACGCTGCCACCAAGTATACTCTGGAAAGAGCGCGCCGCACTTTGGGGAAACCAAAACCGAGTCGTGCTCATCCGTTTCCTGCGCTTTCAGGACCATGAGTTTATTTTTCGCACAGCCAAGAACCGCACTATCAACCACGAGGGCCACAGGATCTTCTTCGCGCAGGACTTCTCAGCTGAAACCATGAAGGCGAGGAGCCCATTCAAATCAGTGAAGAAGACGTTCATTGATGCTGGAACTTTCCAGGGGATTCCAAGTGCACCCTTGCAAGATGAGAATGTTATGCACCTACCTTTAGCCTGAAGTACTAAGAGTGTCATGGATACTATGCGTTACAGTTCGATAGACTAGGATAAAGTTATTTTAAGGTAACAGTTGTTAAGATGCAGAGTTGGGGGAGACCATATGGGATGCCTGAGAGAGGTGTCTGCACAGTTTAATCATCCCTCATTTTTTTCTGTGGATTGACACTTGCCCTTGCACTGTTCAGGTTAAATAAGGGAAGGGAGTTGGGATTTGAGGGGTCTTTTATGTATTTCTGTATGTTTAGATTTATTTTTGTACTTTTCACTATCCTTGGCTATTTGTTTCTTGTCACACTCAATGCAGTTACCCTATTACACTTAAGATTATGGAAAGATCAAACTTGTCTGATTTAGGGATTACGAGCTGGAATGTCAGGGAACTCAATAAAATGCCAAAATTGAAGCAGGTTATGAACAGACTTAAAAGTTTACATTCTAAAATAATATTTCTTCAGGAAACTCACGTTACTACTACTAAAATTAAGTATGTGCAGCATAGATGGCCAGGTCAGTTTATACATGCAACTTATAATAATTATGCTCGAGGGGTTTTAATACTTATCCACAAAACGATTCCTTTTCATCTTACTAAAACTATTCAAGATCCTCAAGGTAGACTTGTTATTGCTCAGGGTAATATATTCTCTCTAGCATTGAATCTGGTTTGCCTATATGGACCTAACGAGGACAATCCTAAATTTTTTGAGGACTTTTTTTTTACCCTGTCCTCATTACAGGGTTTAAACATTATTGGTGGAGATTTCAACTGTACGTTGAACCCCTTGTTAGATCATTCCACTAAATCTGATCCACATAAAAAAACAATGTAGGAAAACAATAATGCAATATATGAAAGTTTTAAATTTGACAGAAATTTGGAGAAACCCTGATAAAATAAAGTACTCATGCTACTCAGGTATACATAAGTCCAGATCTCGCATCGACTATTTCTTAGTGTCACAAGAACTGGTATCCAGAATTACAAATTGTTGGTATGATTGTATAGTCATTAGTGACCACTCTCCTATCTCAATGTCTGTAATGGTGGACAAGCTAACACAATCCCCTCCTATCTGGTGTATGCAAGTAAAATGGCTTCAAAATCTAGAATTTGTCAAATACATAGAGAGCAAGATTAATACTTATTTTGAAATGAATACTGATCAAACAAATGCGTCCATATGATGGGAGGCTTTTAAAGCATATATTCGAGGGCAAATTATACGCTTTACAAGTTCTAAAAGTAAAAAACAAAGAGAAAAAATTATCAAATTAGAGAAACAAATAAAATCTTGAGAAATAGAAATAAATAATAGAGATGACCCTGAAAAACAAAAAGGCTTAGTAATTTTAAGAACAGAGTACAATAAAATAACAGCTGAGAAAGCAGCCAAACGTTTATTGTGGTTAAATCAGACCTTCTATGATCAGGGTGAAAAAGCTGGCAAATTGTTGTCATGGAGAATTTTAAAAATTGAATCTGAAAGGGCTATCAATTGTGTATCCACACAACCAGGAAACATGATAAATGATCCACAAGGTATTAACAACGCATTTAAAGAATTCTACCAATCATTGTACAGATCAGAATGGCCTCCTTCCCCCACTGATAGAGATGCATTTCTTAATCATCTTGAGTTTAAAACTATTGCAGAAGAGGCTCAACATAATTTGGATAGTGATATTACTGTCCAAGAACTATTACAAGCCATTAAAAGCATTAATTCGGGCAAGGCTCCAGGTCCAGATGGCCTGCCTATAGAATTTTACAAAACCTTTCATAATCAGTTAGTAACTCCACTTTTAAATATGTTCATGGAGTCATTAAATAATGGTATCTTACCTCCGACTTTAAGACTAGCAACAATAATCCTTATTTTAAAACTAGGCAAAGCTGTTTCAGAAGACTGGCCTTGTAGTTTTGCATGTACAGAGCATGCAGTAACACTTCCCGAGACTGCAATTTATGCATTTTGTTTGAATCACATTTAAGCTCTTATGCTTGACTGTTATAGCCATAATAATGAAACAAATTGCATGAAAAGAAAGCATGTTTGAAACAGCCTTTACATGTTCACTTTCTACAGTGTGAAACCAAGATAGGACTTATCAAATGTGTACTCGGCAAGAGGTCCTTTTTAATGTGGATCAGTTAAACAAATCGTCCCTGCTGACCCTACTACTACTCCTCAAACAAAGCTGTATTCATGTAATACGGGAATAATACAATTTAACCTACAATAAAGGATAAATCAGCTCCTCTTTCCCCAGTAAACATGCATGCATTTAGGCTGCAACGAGCTTTAGGACATATTCCACATCCAAGCCATGCTAAGTTAACAACATGCAGTCCATGTGCAGAGAAATGTCAGCCCACTTGTTGTCAAACAGTAGTAGCCTTATCATGTGCACTGATGTTAGTCAAATCACACTATGGAGCCAAGAGATGTGTATGTCCCAGGCTTAAAATCGCTAAAAATCTACTTGTTATTGCTGTGCGTAAAAGTGCAATGCCGTTTTGTTGACTTTGCGTTAAGCTGTGGAGTACGTTGTAATGCACGTGTGTGAATGTGCGTAACTCTCCTAAAACTCCATCTGCGCTGTCGTGTGAGACCGTTATAAGTTACTAGAGTGCGAGAAAGGCGCATGGTGAATACAAAAACACCCTCCACATTGTCCCAGAGAAGCCGGCTGCGGAGTGGGAGTTGTTCGCCGTCACTGCACATGAAAACAAGCTACAACTTCTCCCGTAAGACCCCCTTTGCACTGGACACAAACTTCCCAAATCAAACCAGAAAAGTCCAAGAGAAGCGAGAGATAAGCACCTCTGAGATTTGCTCCAAAGCGAAGCCCGCATCGCAGTAACTCGGCCGATGCAAATACTCCAAATCCAGCGGTATGTTGCGGCCATAGTCCCCCCTGTTCCTCCGCCGTATCCTCGGCCGTTCGGGGTCTCTGTTTTCCTGCTCGGAGGGAGCATTAGCAGCCGAGGCCATGTTGCGGGGACTGCGAGACCGTGCTGCTTAGCGTTTTTCCCCGAAAGCGCGTAGTAGTAGCGATATCCCAAAGCGACAACAAAGTTTCCCTCTCGGAGATCTCACACCCGTCAAGTACATACTCCTGGTGAAGACGGCGAGTCAAAGTCTGCGCCTTCCATCCCAACATTTCGTGATCCGAGAGGTCTCCGCTGCTTCCACCGCACACTCGCCTCGTATTTGGGGCACTTTGAGTCAAAAAGCCCAACGTGCAAAGCGATTCCCATACATGAGTCTTCCGCTTGGAAAGCTCGATAGTCGTAGCATTCTGATGAGAGCTATGTGGTCTTCCCTTGGGCCGCGCGTCACGGCCAACTCTGAGATTCAATAGAAGTGGAGAAAAAGAGCTCTCTCCATTTGGAGGCGCAGGAGGAGGAGGGGTGAGAAGGGAAAAAAGTTTGAGATCCCGCCTCTGGGGCTGTCAGATTGCAGGACTTTCTTGCATCTGATTGGTTCCAGAAGGGCAAAAATTACTCAGCAAACACGACTATTATTAGCTGCTTAGCAACAGCTCACTAAAGTAGAGAGACCACCCAGGCGGACGGACCTCGTGTGTGCATCTCCAACTTCAGGGGGGCTGGGACCGGGCCATAGGCGCACGGTGCTTTCGCTGTGAAGTGCGTTTCTGCTCGGGGTCCGTGTCTGAGGTAGACCCTGGTACAGACCAGACCTGAGTACCGCTCGGAGCGCGCGCACAGAAGAGCCGCAGGAATGTCAGGGCTCCGTAGTGTTTTCTGCCGCCACCATCATGGTGGTAGAGGAGCCTCAAATTACAGCGTCCGAGGGGAGGATCCAGAGCGAGGTGTCGATGTTGTAATGTCACTTCTGCTGCTGGTATGGGGTGGTCCTCACACTAAAACGAGTTAAAAACATGATACTGTAATTAATAAGACTTATTGGAGTGATCTTGTTAAACATCGGCTGGGCTTCATTGTTGTATTTTCATGCTGTAAACTGGCATAAATATCGTCTTATTCAGATAAAATAGCAGCCACTTAAATATATAAGACAACCAAATAAACAAACTCGACCAAACTCAGTTTCTTTGGTTGGGTCATATGTTGGGCGCAACCCCACCTACTGGCAGAGGGGGTGTAAAGACACCCCAAAACTGGAGCCCCACTTCTGTTATTCGTATGGCATTGTTGTTAACGCATTACACAGAAACAGACTATTTACACAAAGAAATAAGGTCTGGATTATCATTACTTTTTATTAGTGCAATTATTAGTACCAAACCACTGACACGTAGTGAAGTGTAGGCTGCATTCAAGAAATAAAAGAGTAATATTAAGTTAAGTAATTATTGATCTTTCTGAAGATGTGGCTATAGATTTAACCTGTTCAGAGTATGGCACAAGTTGACAATGTGGTAAAAGTGTCTTGCTCAGTGACACAACCACATCATGCTGTCAGATGGTACATGCTATAGATTATCCTTGTGTCTGGAGATATAAACATGTGGGGAAACTCAACAGGCCTGTGATGCCCCTAAAGCCCCCAGTAGAAGCTCCTCCACTCAAAGAGGAGAATTAGCCCCTCCCCTTCCCAAAATCTGTTGCATCGACATTGTAAATGTACAGCAGTAATTTACCCCGGCAGATTATATTGCAAGCATCTGTTTTGCCTAATCAAACACATACGCCACTTTGACCCCACATGCACGTTGTGTGTTCATCACTGACCATCAGGAGGCCAGATTGTCCACTCCAAGAAGTCAAAAACACTCACAAACCAGGTTTTGAGAAAAGCTGAAGGAATTACCTTTTATTATCAGTGTGTCTACTTTTCCAAAGCTCAAAATACTCTCTTCCACCTTGAGATGTCACGTAGTGGTAGTTTTCAAGTTAACAGTGACATTTTACCTTTAATACAGTAGAGATTTTCAATTCCAGAGTGAAAATTATTTAGATATTTATAGTGAAGGAGTGTTTTCCATTTGAGAGATGAACCTAAATAAGTAGGGTTTATGTGTGAATGCAACAAAACACAACTCCAGGTTTGTTTTTTGAGGACGGTACAACATTATAACAGAATAGAAAATAGTGTAGCATGGGCCTTTTAAGTACAATATCATTTTTAGTTGCATTTATTTTTTCTATTATCAGCATGGGAAAAGTGCACTGAAACTGAGACTTGTCCCATGGTTTGGAATGATCCCTTGACTTTCCTGCTGTGAGGTTACAATTTAAACCACTGTACCACCACCACGCAACCATTGGCTTTTTATTTTTTCAAACCCTAATATGGTGGTATCTCACTTTTACAGCTGCTCAGACTGTAATAAATATTTTGTTTGTTGATTCATCTAAATTCCACATTTACATTGGGTTTTCGGGAAAATGACATCAGCTGTGGTTTGGGAAATGGGGTCTAAACTTGGGTGGTTGACTTCATCGTGTGAAATGCCAGTTAAGGTAAATGTCTTCAAATGGCCCATACTGCATGAAAGTTGAACGTCTGTGCTTATGCGTCTGTGTATGTGCTTTTCTTTACTTTTGTTTTGATCCATCTTTCAAGTATTCCCTGGTAGTGATTCTGTGGTGTGGAGCTCAGCAGTGACCACTTGCCTCTGGTTTCCGGAAGTAAATTTCTCTTTCATTTTTCTCATAGACTTTTGGAAAAAATAAAAACTGATATGAAAATTTGAAAGCTTGCTCAGGGCTACTCAGATACATGGTAACTAATGACTACAAGACCTATAATTTAACCCAAGTCAGTTCTGAAACTTGATAAACCATAAAGTTATTAAAATGTCTAGCAGAATCTTGCATTTTAAATGTGCTTTTCAGAACGGATTTCGAAGTGGGCGGGACTATTGACCTCCAGCTGTTTTTATTGAACAAAAACAATTCTTACTGTGTTTTTATTCAGAGACATACAGTATAATTCAGCCTAGTGGTGTTACCTGAGTGACAGTAATGTCATTTTGGGGGTATTTGGGACCTCATTTATCATGTGAATAAATATTGTGAAAAATATTGAGCTCAAAATTGACCCTTATTTGTTAGTTCCTGTACTCTGCCTGTGTATCATGTGCCAAAAATAAGGAGTCATGCAAAGGCAAAAGGCAGTAACAGTGTATGTTTTGTTTGTGATTTAGTTAATAGATAAATTTTATTTTAAAATCCAACCTCTCACCTCCTTCTTTTGTTGCGGCCTTGGCACAGGGTCTTAACACTTTAAATTAATAAACCTTTGTATTCAGTTATACTTAAATTATCTTTAATGTGGAAGTACTTGGTGTATTTATTCATACTGTACACACTACACTGCAAAGTAATTCGTCTGTCAAACTGTTTAACTGTGTAAGTTTTGCCGCACGATCCTGATCAGCACTAAACAGGAAATCCAAAGCTCTTCTATATCATTTCAAACAAACACCATCATGACTCGACGTTGGTGAGGTGTTTTTCTTATAATGGATGGAAATCTGGGGAAACTCAAGCAAATAATGATCATGTCAGTTAATGCCTTTTGCCTTTGCACAACTCCTTATTTTTGGCTCATAATACAAAGGAAGAGTAAAGGCACTGGCACATAAGGATCAAAGGTCAATTTTGAGCTCAGTATTTCTTCATTATAGCAACTTGTCAGATTTTGGGATCCCTACCTATTATACTTTTGTCTGGACAAAACAGAAACTGTGAAGTCACATTGTTCAGTTTCACACTCTGGAGATTTGAGGTCTTTTGCCTTTGTAGGGCAGTCTTGTAAATCACATGAGTTTGACTGTTTCTTCCAAAAACAGTGAACGTCTAATAGAGTTATAAAGTCCCATGCCCTCCATTTGAAATCCTGACATTATCAAACTGTAGAACCTGAACACAACCTATGGCACAGAGTAAGAATAGTGATGTTAGGCACAAACCCGGTCTCACACCCCTGCTTGTATTAATGGAAATGTTCTGGTTGGTTTCCTTGTGTAAAATTGCTCATTCATGTTAACACGCCCCAGCAGAAAACTCTTTTGGAAGCCAGTCTCAGGTGTAGCTCTTTGCCAAGTCTTAAACCACCTCCTCCTCCTCCTGCCTCCACCTCCCCAGTATGCAGCAGTGGAACGCCACAAAGTAAAAGTGGTAAAGTACTGTACATAAAGGTGCATTGTGTAAGTTTTTGGTTGGGGTATGACAATAAACTGATCTACTTTACATTGATTCTGTCTGTGAGTGGGATCACCTCTCCACAGATATGACCTGTAACTTAGTCTGGTCTGGTCTCCTTGAAGATAGAAAGGTTTAATACCATACTGTGAAACATTCCAGACAAAGCAATAACATTTCTATAGAGAAATTGACGGACCCTCCACCAGAAAAGTTACACAATGCCTACTTTAAGTTAAAATGTAGGCATCCATACTTTGTTTAAGTACGTTTTAAAATGCTTTTTCTTCACGACATTTGCGAGAAGGTATCTGTACTTTCTACTCCTATTACATTTTTGAACATTTTAGTACTGTGTAAGATCTGTGGAGAACTCTGCGTGGTTTATTTTTTATCAAGGTTATAGTTTGAGCAAACAAAAACATACAAATAAAAACAGGTAGAAAAAACTATTGATTCAGTTGTTTCTGTTGAACAAAATTCAGCACAAATCTGCATCAAAATCACAAAATTTTAAGCTTTATTAGAACTCAAACTCAGCGCAAAATGCTTTTACTTTTTGATCTTTTTTCACTTTTTACTTAAAGATGTAGTATGTAACTTTTTTGTTAGGGGTTCGTCACCTGCTTGTTTCTATGGATATGCCATTGCTCTGCCTGGAATGTTCCACAGTATGACTTTATACTGTTCTACTTTACATCGATTCAGTTACAGGTGGTTTACTCCTCAAAAATACCTAGAAAAACAGGCATTCTGACTGTGAGCGGAGTTGCCTCTCCACAGATCTGACCTGTAACTTGGTCTAGTTTGATCTCCATGAAGATAGAAAGGTTTAATACCATACTGTGAAGCATTCCAGACAAAGCATTAACATTTCTTTAGAGCACTTACAGACCCTCCACCAGAAAAGTTACACAATGCCTACTTTAAGTTAAAATGTAGGCATCCATACTTTACTTAAGTACATTTTAAAATGCTTTTTCTTCACTACATTTGAGAGAAGGTATCTGTATTTCTACTCCTATTAGATTTATGAAGTATTTTTAATATTATGTGAGACCTGTGGAGAACTCTGCAGTGGTTTTTTATTTTTTTATCAAAGTCATAGTTTGAGTAAACAAAAACATACAAATAAAAACAGGTAGAAAAAACTATTGATTCAGTTGTTTCTGTTGAACAAAATTCAGGACAAATTTGTATCAAAATCACAAAATTTGAAGCTTTATTAGAACTCAAACGTGAGCGCAAAATGCT